GTAGAATCGAAGAGGGCCAGAGAAAAAAACCAAGACCAAGATGATCACTGCCTGTTATGTTATGGTCAGCACTGCAAGCGTTGGGTTGACATAGCGGTACTCACGACAAGACCTGTAGTTTCCTGCAGCTTGTGGAAGTCCACATTGAAGAAGTGATATCTGGCTGCTGCATGTATGATACTCTCTATGATGCAAATTCGGCCCAGCCACCGGTGTGCCGTCGCATATGATGCCAGGCTGATGCCGCAACGATCCGCTACAAGATTTATGTGACCACCCAACATAAGCGGGGCAATGTTGACAATAGATAGAAGTCCAGAGCGTTTGATGAAGTCTGCTGGATCGTGCACGTAAAGAGTTAAGCCCAGGATATTTCCTATCAACAACGTTAGGAGAATGAGCGCAGACCGAACCTTGCTCCCGGAAACCCCAAGATATCGGTCGACATGTCGGTAGCCCAGGAACTCAAGCTTCAATGTCTGTTGAGTAACTTTGGCACCAATAATGACAGCCACACAACTCCCGAGAGCCACCGCATACCAAGCCGTGAAGTCCATGGTTACAGGCCGGTAGGGATGTCGCCGCTGAGAGCTACTCGAGGTTAGGAATGCTTGTTTATATAATTAATGGGGGACCAAAAGCTGTCCCTTCCCTATCGCCCCCTACTAACTTGCCGAGACAGCTGCCTTGTTTACATCAAATGAGTCATGCGAAGGCCCTGTTTTGGTCACGTCTTCTGCCATAGATGCACATGACGTGCAAATTCCACCGCCGCCGTTTCCTTGTTTCATCTTTGGTCTTCCTGTCCAACTTTGCCTCGCCTTAGCTTACCTTGCCATGCCTTGTCCCTTCCCGGCGCGGATTCCTGGAGGTCACTTTCACATATTTAGGATACGGCGTAGGGCGACGGTCCCGATCGGGCCATTCATGTTGGCTTGAAAGAAAATCAGGGTTCAGTATTTCAGTCATTAGTGCTGGTGTGGTATACAGTATTCGTCTATTCAATGAAACGGCAGATTCAGTACCAGATTGGACAATCGTGGGGAGAGCGGCATGGTGTCCAAGCTTACTATTTGAGTCACGGGTGGCAACGTGCCAGGGACCACTTTTGTTTTATTTTAGAAGAGCTTCGTATTGGACGGACTGGGTCAAGGAGCCGAGGGACGCTGGAATAATTGACGAATCACTTGAGTCGCCAAGGCTACATCAACAGATTATGCTTTGATCTCAGGAACACACTCCACTCAACACTGGCTAGGGAGGCTAAGACAAGGTCCAATCAAGTCACCCACGAATCCCGCCCATTCTGCACAGGATGAGTGCCAATGTGTTAGACAACGTAAGCAATTACCTGTGTGCTCCTGCCCTGCGTGGACGCATGTCATTTTAAACACAAAGATCGAACACTGTACAGAACTGTGCGAAATCGGTAGCACAAATAATCTAGTGCCATTCGTGTGTATCAAAAAGACCAAATGTGGTATGATCGGCCTAAATTTGGGACTAAAGGATCCCGCGACAATACCTTGCCAGACTAAATCTGGGCATCCTTCCATAAATATAGTCTGGGCTATATGATGAATACTTCATCAGAATTAGTGCCCATTCATCTACTGTATCACTGGGCCCGATCATAATCATTCTCATCCACATTAACAGAACGAAATGCACGTAACATCAGTTCTCTCACTGCTGTTGACGACCAGCTTCTGCTCCCGCGATAATGCTGGAAACTGTACCGATCTAGCCCATGCCTCTTCCAGCAATCACACTAATGTAAGATGCCATAGCCTGCCTGATGCTAGCTCTATCACATCTACAAATGAGCTCTACGTAATAGACTCGAACATTCAAGCCGTGGTTTGGGTCTTGCTCGGAAATCTGCCAAGCGCTGCAAGGGTGCAGCTCACGACCAAACACCACGACGCCTTCGGCCGTCACATCTAGCAGTATTCTGCATCCGGGGGTGTCAGGAGCGATACAAAGCTCTCCGATTACCCACTTCACCAGCGGAGTGGCGAGCTTCCCTTTTCCAAATACTACGGTTTCTCTCACGACTTCCAGGCCCACAGGAGCATTGTTCAATCCTACAAAGACACCATTCAGCCTCGTCGTGACTGGGAGAGGATCCCTATACCAGCCAAGAATCGGCATGCTTTGGCTAGCAATGGTAGTGAATCTATTTAGTCATGTCATATAGCTGGCAAATATGGCCGATCCACGAAATCCAGCTTCCATTACGAGCGATGATTACAAGCGATGAGACGTTAGTCGCTGGTCCTGAGATGGCTCGGTAGCGCAGACATCACCTACCAGAATATTGCGGGCACGTGATTGTACCTCTGTGTGATCACAAAGGACCGGGAATGAGGGAGTATTGTGCTTCGACGACTATTCGGGCTTTCCCACCCAAAGCAGATCACAAGCCGCCTGAGACAATTCGAATTTGGACGATTCGGCGTCCCTCCGAGGGGGGGGGGGTGGGAGGCCCGTGGCCCGCATTGTATAGGCCGGCCACGTTCGAGCTGCATCGTGGACGACTCATTTTGGTTTTGAAGTTGATAGAGTCGAAAAGCATGTTGAAGTTGACAGGAAGGGCATCATATCAATTTTGCGTCTTTCACTGCTCACAAAGTTGGATCTTGGTTCTATTCAATCAGGAGAGTTCTGGCTTATTCACTCCTACTCCCCATCGCAGGTCTGACAGAGCCTCGTGCCATCCTTCGTGACAGCCGTACAATTGAAAGCTCCATCCATGCCAGCTTGCCATGCGGTTCAAGATTTTGCATACTAACCGGCATGGCTCAGATCATAGAAAGTCGCTAGTCTGAGCGTGTGGGTCTCATCCCGCTACTTCTACTCGCTGTCCGTCCACGCCTGGCGGGCATCAACCTCACCAGGACCATGTTCTGAACACATCATCTCATCAGCATTGCAGAGTTTGTCGACGCGGTAAGATTGACTGCAGGCCTGAATCTCTTCTCATTCGTTCCTTCAAGATCCAACGCTTTCCCGCATGCTCCAAGATAGGCGGTCTGGCTAGTATTAAATGAGGTTGATCTGGGTGGTCGGAATGGTCTGTGCTGACTGGTACGTTGAAGTCCGTACCTGGAGTCTTATTAATTGGAGCGGGATCAACTGACAACCGCCCCCCCCCCCCCGGGTGCCCACCTTCCCAGCTAGGCATGTGGAAACCAGGGGTCGAAAAGTAGCCAGATTCTCTTGCTCGCGCCCTGCGCCTACAAGTTCACGACGGCCCTCAACCTGCCCCTTACGGCCTCAAGTGACCCAATACAGGCTCATGCTTCCCTTCCGATGGCACGCCCTCCTTGGGTGTCGCAATGGGGCTTCATTGCATTGCGTCGTGTCGCCTCGTCTGGTGCAACGCCAAGGTCATAGTGTGACGCCACGGCGCGTCTCGATCTTGGACCGCCGTCTGCTGCCTTCCACTAATGCACATGCCAATACATGTGCAGGTAGACCCCTCGGACGACGAAAGCTGGCCGCTCAAAGCTATATCGATCCAAGTGGGGCAAAGGCTCCGAGAACCAAGGAAGAAGGGGATAAATTAGAAAGGAAAGTCGAGGCGCTGGGCAGCAATGAACCGCTTCGTTTCGACGGCCCGCGGCTCTCTCTTGAGCAGGCAGAGGTTGTCGACCTTGCCGCAAGCGGTTGCAACATCTTCTACACAGGCTCAACAGGATGTGGAAAGTCGACCGTGCTACGCGCCATTGTGCAGCGCCTGCAGCACATGGGCAAGTGTGTTCGAGTGCTCGCTCCGACCGGCAGGGCTGCGCTCGCGATCAACGGGACAACCACCTGGTCCTTTGCTGGGTGGAGCCCAAACTCGCAAAAGCTTGGCATCGAGAAGCTGAAGGCAGTGGCGAAGGGCAAGAATAACATAGCGGTCCGGAAGCGGCTGCGGAGGACCGACGTGGTCATCATCGACGAGATCAGCATGGTCGAGAACCTGCACTTTGAGCGCCTGAACCAGGTCATGAGGGCGGCACGGCACAAGCCAGACTATCCGGCGCAGGACTACCCATTTGGCGGTGTCCAGGTCATAGTTACGGGAGATTTTGCGCAGCTGCCGCCTGTGAGGCCCTTCAGGCATTGCATCGAATGTGGCAGCGAGACGAAGTTGGATGAGGAAGACGAAGAGGACGCGAAGACCCACTACTGTAGTCGGTGCAAGGCGACATACAATGAGAGCGACCAGTGGGCTTTCCGCAGCAAGGCGTGGGAGGAGTGCAACTTTACTCACGTATATCTGGACAGAATCCACCGGCAACGCGACGCACTCTTCATCTCGTTACTAAACAAGTGTCGATCGGGCAAGCCATTTACCCCGAATGAAGTCAATATCCTGATGGATCACGAAACAAATACTACAGGAGCTGTCGAGCTCTACTCGACGCGGGAGGAAGTTCGCCTTGTGAATGAGAGGGAATTTGGGAAGCTGGTCACAGAGTCGTATTCGTTCCAGTGCCGTGACACCTTTGTCTGGAACAGGAAAATGCATCCACATCTGGAGAGAAGAGGCGAGAAGCACGCAGATGGATCATTAAAGTCCCTCGACGAACATTCCATGGACCGTCGTGTGGAGCTCAAATGCGGAATGCCGGTCGTGCTGCTGGCCAACCTCGACCTGAACCGAGGACTTTGCAATGGCAGCCAGGGCGTCATTGTCGGATGGGAAATGCCCAACAGGAGGGTAGAAACGCTATTCCAAGGCTCTTGTGACCACGCTCTGCTCAAAAAACTCGAGATAATAGCGTACGAGAAGAACGTCGACGAGCCAATCTGGCCCATAGTTCGACCTAGACCAGAGTCCAAATCGAGTCTCGGGTCCATAATCAGGCCCAGAAGATGGACGCCTAGTTCTAGGGCCGTTGTTCCTAATTCGTACTCCCTCTCATCTATTCGGAACTCCTACGAGGATAAGGCGGTTCGAGACAGGGACCTGGATACGCCAATTTGACTGCGGACAATAACATAACACATGAAGGTCAATCTCGTGGAGGCGCACTACTCGATGATCCAGAAGCACAGAACTGGGCTGTGTGTGTAATCGTCACAACAGGGAGTACCAAGCACATTAAACTTCCCTAATTGGATCATTTGAAATGTCTCGCATGCAGGTTTAGCAATAACACGACTGCCCACGGCGGTCTAGACTCAAGCTGTTCCAACCTGGAAGACAATGATAAGCAGTCAGCACACATAGTGCAAGAAAGTAAGATATGCCACTTTACCTAACAAATTTTTGACGCAACACTCGGGCGCAAGGCCAGAAGATTACGGTGATTGGTAACGAGAAGGACAGGTTCTGCTGCTTGCAAATATCAGCTCGGGCGCTGGTTCCTCAATGAGAGGGGTCTGCAGCTGTGTTCGGGCATTAATGAGGAAGCCTATTACCTGTCTCGGCCATTGCACCAAACCCGAAGCGGCCAACAAATTGATGATCCGGTTTTGGAATGGCCATGGCTATATACCTGGTGACGAATTAATCTTTCACATCAACCCATGTACCTACTTCGCCACATTTTGTAGGCCGGCAGCAAGCTTCACACTATATTGGTTCCGGGCCATCTCGAGGCCCAAGCTAATTTAGGCTCTATAGTCTGTGACTCAAGGCCAAGCTCGCAGCCATTGACCTTAAGGTATTTGCTATAGTTAGGTGCTTTTAATATCCAATGGCCGCAGGTCAAGGAGAGAGACATCAAACAATAAAAGACATGTTCTCTCCAACTAGACAAGCTTCATTGGGGACGATTCAGTACGATTGAAACAAGGAGGCGCGACAGGAAGGCGCTGGTGAAAAAATTCGAAATGTCGAGGCGCATGAATCATGTATGCTCATTTCCATTGGTGGTCGCCTCCCAGATGCCTGTCTTGATCCGACGTTTTTGGTTTTGGCGATTGCGATGTCTTTCTCGACCCTGCTGTCGCACATCAAATGATGGATCTATAATAAATTAGCTTTACTTACATGCAACATTCACCGCCCCGATTCCTTCCCGCGGCGGTCTTGCAATGCCTGCGCTTACATGCAATTCAAGAGGTGTCACGATATGTGTAATTTGGTATGGTCGACTGCTTTGTTTGGAGAGGCCGGGCTTGATACACGGAATCAAGATATTATGAGACGGCGTTGGTGGTATGACATTCGCGAGTCGCACAACAGACCCGTACGAAAACGACTCGCACCCGAGGCAAGATATGGGCACATATGCCCTAATGAATCTGTTAGTTGTTGTGGTGCCCCAAAGAAGCCGGTCTTACTCGAA